AAATGAAGACATTTAATTATCAGAATAGCTTTGCCCTAACTGCCGCATCGGACGAAGGTTGCCCTAACTGCCACATCAGACGAAGGTTGCCCTAACTACTGCAACGGACAAAAGGTTCTTTTGGGAGCAAAACGCAAGTAAAACATAAAGTATGAAGGTGGTCGATTGATCCATGTGGTCGGGATAAACAGGGAGTCGACCGCACTAGCGGTCACCAGCGGAGAAAGCTTAGAAAGCACCTGAGAGGACGAGTCCACAAAGATTGAGAGAGATACGGGCCCTGTCCTGAGATTTGAGATTTGTAATTAAAATAAGCAGAGTAAGCGAGGAAGTAAGTGAGAAAATCCTACTAACTTGCCGAAATCCCAACCAACCAGAGATATTATCCCAAAATTTAAGGAAAATATCCTGGAATAAAATAAGGGGATTTATAGAGATTTCAGGGGATATATATGTTGAATGGAAAAGTCTAAAAGGAAATTTTGTAATCTCATTCTTCATAACATAGTGAATTTTTCTCTTTCTCATAGTGAACGTAGCTCTTAAATAAAATGGTGAACCACTATAAATCTTTGTGTTCTTACTTTCTGATTGTTGCTTGATCTTTCCAAATTGTTTAGTAGATCGTTAAAACCACGTTAATCACCTCAAAACTTAAATTAATTCAGTTGACGAATTTCTACCGTCAACTTAAAGCATATAAAAAATTTGACATTTGATTGTTATTAGTTAAAATATTTATTTTTTCATGTAATTATTGCAACTTTTATATTTTTTAATTATTTTAAACATAAAAATTTATTTTTATAATTTTTAAAGTTTAATAATTATATAAAAAAATAAATTTAACATTTTAAATAATATTATACATTAAAATAAAAATAATATATAATATCATATTTTTTAATAATAAATATATAATTAGTATTAATATTTATAATAGTGACAGGTCTCGTACTGACTCTTTTAATCTGAAAACTTACAGCTTTATACACGTTAAATTTATAAGTAGTGTTGACAAAATGGAGAAGTAAAGTCCTTTGCAATCTACTCCGTTGACATCCATCAAAGTTCTATATACTCGAAGGGGAAGTGACGGTCTAGCAAACATGGATAGGTTATATAACACACGATCGCAACTGTCCAGAGTTTTTTATTTATTACTATAATGGATTCAATTTTGCTTGATTAGTCCGGACCGTCAATGGTCTTACCGACAGCTTTTATATCACTGTTTCACTTTTTGCAGTGTGTTAGAATTGGATTTTTCTGAATTCGAAAAAAGTATTTTTCTGCTTTTCTTAAAAAAAAAAAATTCCCTCCAATCATTTTGATATGACCGCTCTGAGTTTTATCTGTATAAATAATTTGACCTTAACTTAAAGGCATTAATCTCGTTTTTATTTTTTATATTTTTTAAAAAAATAAAAATAAAAATATTTTTAAAACGACATTTGATACAATAAAAATAAAAAATGGATATAAAAATAATTTTTTAATTTAATGTAAAATGAGAAAGAAATAGAAAACGACTTTTAGTCGTTTTTAATTTTTTATTTTCGTTTTCTCATCTCTCGAGCAGAGAAAAAGAGATAGAGACATTAATGGATTTTTTTATACTGAAAATAATCTCTTGATCAAATTATCAAACGCATTTTCAAAAATGATTTCTGTCTGAGATTGAAAACGTTTTCATTTTCATTTTCATACAAAAAATAAAATCATTTTGAAACGAGTTCCAAACGCGCCCAATATGGGCTCGTTCATTTCAGTGATAAAAATTTAGAATTTAAGTTTTATTATAATAAAAAATTTTTAAAAACAATTATATTTAATTACATTTCAATTCGAATTAAAAATTTAAATGAGCGAACTAAACGGATCATAATATAATTGATAAATAATGTCTAAGTTAATTACTAATAATGAAGGTTTTGGTTTCACTAATTAGCTATTATCAAGTGTATTGCTTTAATAAGCAGTTTAATGCGTTGATTTTTATCACACATATATATGTTATATTTACACACATGATCAACTCTTCAGTCAATAAGCCCATCCAACAATCTAAAAGTCCACATCATCTTGAAAATAAAAATGTACAGCGGTCATTTTATTTTATTTTTAGCTAGTTAAAACGGTCATTTTATTTGTTCATGACATTTTGTTGTCTTTAAAATTCCTGTATTAAAAGAAATTAGTACTAATTTGATAAAACGTAGAGAAAATGTAGGCCTCGTTCACTTTACAGATTCAAGTTTTTAATTCGAACTGAGATGTGATCTTTTTTGAGAACTTTTTACTGTAACAAAAAAAGTTAGATGTGACATTTTATGAGAGTTTTTTACTGTAGAAACTTAAACCTGAAAACTCGAATCGGTAAAATGAACAAGACCGTAATTGTTCCATAATAATATTACTCAACAGTCAGTGGACAGTGATGTTCTGAAAAATGAATGATATATATTTTTATAAGAATGTGAAACAATAATATCTCCACCTCAACACTATAGTATTCTTTAGTCTTCTTTTGAAGGCGCATAAAGGAACTCTTATGGCTAGCGTTCATTCTCTTTATTATTTTTTACATTTATTATTTAACATGTGAATTCTATTAATTAATATATTATTATTTAAACAGAAAATAAGATAGTATAATTTATATGTCAAATAATAAATATAAAAAATAATTAAAAGAGTGACAGAAAAAAATGATGTTATCATTTCTTGTATTGCTTATTTACAAATCATGTTAGAGCATGCAAATTATTTCAGATTTAAGATTTAATTTGTGAGCTATCATAACTTAAAAGCGTCTTTATAATTCCCTAAAAAAAATGTCTTTATATTGGTAAAATCCTTATACGATTAAATATAATCTTCATATAGCTTAGCTTGCATAACTCATAACCCAACTACAATACAGTAAGTTGGACACATCATTTCTTAGTAAAAACGTGGTAAACAATATATTTTTTAATTCTCACAAATAAGTTTTTACTTCTTAAAATTAGAGTTCAATATGATTTGACATTCTTTACATATCCCTTTCCTGCTAATGAGCTTAGTCAATTCATTTTATTTCACTCATCTAATTGATGAATGAAACGCAATCATTAGGTATTTCGAAACGATTTTTTTTTTTTTACCGGAATTTCTCTACAATTGAAAATGAGTAAATGTAGCATTTTCATATGTTTTCTTAAAAATAAAATAGAGATTTTTTATCTCGTCATTTACAATTATTTTAAAAATTTTAAATTTAATCATTATTTTTTCTAACCCTATTATTTATCTCATTACATAAAATTTTTAATGCCATTACAAAATATAATTTGTAGAATACAAAAGTTAACTTGCAGTGCAGGTTCTAAAAAATAATTTAAAATAACTTATAAATTACGAAAGATTACCTGCAGAACATAATGTAAATTTAACAATAATAACATAAATAAATTATATTATTTTATTGATGGAATTTTTTAAAATTCCTCATATTTTGGCATTTCATTTTCTTAAATACCTTATGGGCGCTCAAATAACTTTTTTACTCACGTAGGATTGCCCATAAGATTATTGGAGGCGCCCAAATCATGGAACTTTTATAACAATAAAAAATAAATACAAGATAAAACAATTATAATTCGGAGTCCAATTAAGTTAGGAAACGTAAGTTTGGGATTTGAACTTTATTTGTAGCTCAGCTTGATTATATAAAATATAATAAAAACATTATTTTATGAATGGAGTATAACTTTAACAGTAGTGCACCAGTTTGACTGGATTTCTAATCCAAATCCTTTTCGTTTTTTCTTCCTCAATAAAATAAATTTTAAAACAATTCCGAAAACAGTATTATAATTACTCCTGATCTTTTACATAAATAAATATAAACAGCCGAAGCCAGATTGCAATGACCAAATTACCTAAGTTTTATACTGGAATTACATCTGATTCCTCTCATTGCTTACTTGACTTGCAAGTTGCAATTGCAGAAGATAAAAAGGAAAAGAAAAAAGAACTGTGATTACACGTTTCGCTAAACCTGATGAAATATTTTTAATTATTTTAATTTAAGGTCCGTTTAGTTTGTTGATTTAAAATTTTAATTTGAATTGAGATGTAATTTTATGTGATAGCTTTTTATTGTAACAAAAAAGTTAGATGTGACTGTTTCTGAGAATTTTTTACTGTAGCAAAACTCGAATCGGTGAAATGAACGGAGCCTTAATGTTGATGATTAGATTTAAAAAAAAAAAGACCATAATTAGTTTTTTCAATAGGGTTAGAAAATAATTTCTTCTTTTTTTTTTTTCAAGGTAAAAATATGGATAGTTATTATATATGTAAAAAGATATGGATAGCCATAGCTTCGCACAAAAACTAAAAATAGAAGTTCGCAGATAAGCATTTTTTTTTTTTTTTTTTGCCTTTGTTTCCTGGTAAGCATACAAAAGCTAATTATTCTTTTCTAATAAATTCTACAAATAATTATATCGGCGTTATTATTTACAAGATATCTTACTTTTAATTTTGTTTCAATGCAGAAGAGAATAACCGATACCCAAAAGCAATGTTGTCAAATCAGTATAATTTAAACTAAATCATAATTTTAGAGTGACCAACACAATACAAATTTATACAAAAATAATTGATTTTTTGCTGAGCTTAAAAATAACTTAAAGTCCGTTATATACTCAAATTTAAATTATTATTTATGTTAAAGTATTTTTTTCTTATAAAAAATTTAAATTTTAAAATTTTAAAATTTCAAACGTAAAAATTAAAAATCATGATTTAAATATATTTTTTAAACGGACACTTGTTAATATAAAGATACTATAGATTTTTAAATATATACTGTTATAGTAAAAAATTTATGTAATCACTGATATGAGAATCAATTTCTTAATTAAATAATATCTAACAAACATATATATAAAAATTAAAAAAAATGGAAGTAAATGAATTTATTTTTTTCTAAAAAAGGAGGGCTAATTTGGGAATTGAAGAAAAGGTCGGAAGAAAGGCTACTGTGGAGTCCAGACAAGAAAAAAAAATTAAAAATTCTGAAAATAGGAGTTTTCTCTCACCAGTTCCTTTTTGTCCTCCATTAATGGAGGGAACTTCGTAAAAACTCTCTGTCTGTCTGTCTGTCTCTCTCTCTCTCTACTTCTTCTGGCGCCATTTGCAGACTTCATTTCCTTTCAAACTTGTCGACTCTCAACAACAACAAAAACAAAAACGACAACAGAAACGACAATCTTCTTCTTCTCATTCTTGGTCTTCCATGGAGGAAAAGGAAATCACCGTCTACGCTTCGCCCGTCAACTCGGAGACGGACTCGCCTCGGGCCATCAGCAACGCCGCAGCGGCGGTTCCTCAGGCCGTGAGCGCCGCCGTCGGGCTAGGCAACGCTGGAATGGCGGCTTTGGCGACGACGTCGTTTTCGGCGGCGGGATCGGGGACGCCGGGTAACGTCGATTCGTTGGGGAAGAAGAAGAGGGGGAGGCCGAGGAAATACGACGCCGATGGGAATCTGAGGCTGTCGTACGCCAGAGTTACACCACCAGTAGTACAACAGCCCGGAACGACGCCGTTTTCTCTGTCGCCGGCTTCTCCGTCTGAGTTCTCTTCTTCTTCTTCTTCGAAAAGAGGGAGAGGTCGGCCTCCTGGGTCCGGTAACTGGCAGCTTCTCGCTTCTTTAGGTAAGAGCAAAATGCTATTTATTTATTTATTTTTTTTTGTGAGGGTGCTTGTTTGCCAAGAAAATGCGAGAAAATTTTAGTCTCCGTGGTGGGTCATTTGTCCTTGTTCGCTTGCCTTTTTTGGTAAATACAAAAGCCTAAACTTACCCACCATGGAAAAGTGTTTCTTTCCTCTATCCAGTTAAGCCAGAATGAAAAAGAAAAAAAAAATCACTTTTTAATTTTAAGTTATGGTTTTTTCTTCTGATCCATTGTTTCACCAACTAAATAGTCTAATGGTTATAGAAAACTCCATTTATTGGGAAATTAGTTTGTATTTGTTGTTGGTTTGAGGTCTCAAAATTTCAGCTATTATTTTTTTTTCCCTTTCTTTGTTTAAGGGAAAATTCCTTACCTATATATACGCATGAGCTACTTTATAGAATGTTAAGTATATCAGATAGTGTGATCCAACTGTATCATTTTTCAATTTTTACCAACATTGCAAGCTTGAAATATCTTTAAGAGCTACAAATTATTGAAAAAAAGAAACAAGACTTTTGTTTATCTAACATTCGAACTCTTTTCCGTGAAGGGGAATTGTTTGCAGCCACAGCCTGTGGAGACTTCACGCCTCATGTCGTCACTGTTGCCTCTGGGGAGGTAATTGAAAAACTAATATGGTCGTCTCATTGTTTTTTGTCTTCATTAGCTTGGCCGTACCACTTGAGATCTTTCCACAGATCTGGAATGTTTTTTTTTTTTTTTTTTTTTTTTTTTTTTTTTTTTTTTTTTTTAAAAAAAAATGGAATTTTTTTTTTTTTTTTTTTTTTTTTTTTTTGCTAGTTTTTTAATTATTTTTTGTGCATGACAAAGGTCTGAACTTTGAACCATGCAGGATGTTGCAGGCAAAATTCTTTCCTTTGCTCAAAAGGGTCTCAGAGGAGTTTGCGTTCTGTCTGCCAATGGGGCTGTTTCCAACGTCACCATTCGCCAACCGGGCTCTTCTGGCGGCATTCTGACATATGAGGCATGAAATCATTGTCACATTTTTATGCTCTTCGAACTTATAGTTTTCTTTCTTCTTGTTCTTCTCTCTTTTTGTCTTGAGTTTCTTGGAAGTGGGACAAATGGGGTTCCTTCCTTTTATAACCTTTTTCGGTCGGTCAGTTTTTGATTGTTAAAGTTAGTTAAAATGTTAGAATGTAAAAATATGTAAAATAAATAATTTTTATACAATTTTAATTGTTGACGAGTAGAGAACTATCAAGAATTTATTTTTTTTAAGTCCTGGTAGAGAAATTCCCTTATGTTTAACGTCTTATTAGGTGTGTACTTTTCAAGCACACGAGTGTCTCTTTAGTCCTGCTCAAGGCTATTTGTCAAGATGTGTGTACTTTTCAAGCACACGAGCTAGTTTTTCGATTGTGATCATAGACATAGCCGGTTAAGGCCCACCCACCTAATGCTCACACACACAATCATAAATTATTGGTCCTTTCTCCGTACTTCCCATTAGAAGGAACAGCTTGGTCTAAACTACCTTACCAATTTGTGATATCTTCGAAATAGGTTAGCTATATCTAACAACAAATACATTGCTGGATCTGGGGTACTGTATTCTTTTTTTTTTTATAGTATTTTTCAGGATATACATTGGTACGAATACGGTATTCGATGAAGTCGAAACAAAAACATATGCTATTGTTTAGGGGCTAAGTTTTTCTTGATTCCTTATTTTCTTGAAGTTGCTAACATATTATAGACATGTATCACTGTGGTGAAAAAACGCTGTCAATATTCTAGTTTCTTTTGACACGCCACTTAATATTGAGTAGTTACCTGTTGGAGTTCATTGCGCACATTTTGATTTTGGTTCTTGCCTATTACTTTATTTTTTCCTAAATCCCATAGAGATTTTATGAATATTATTTGATATAAAAGTTAAAAACTATAAATTTCTTCACACAGGGCCGGTTTGAGATATTGTCATTATCTGGGTCATTCACTGTCATTGATGATGCCGTAAGAACTCGGATCGGTGGCTTGAGCGTCTCATTAGCCGGGCCTGATGGGCGTGTAATTGGTGGTGGCATTGCTGGTTTACTAACTGCTGCTAGTCCCATCCAGGTAAAGGCCTTTTCTTCTTATTTCTCCTTGTGGGCCATGACCATGGATCATCATGAAAATAATGTCATATATATGTAATAGAGTGATATTGGCTATAAGCTATCTCAGAAGCAATTCTTCCAAAACGGTAGATTTATAAGTATCTCATTCTTTTTGCTCAGTCAAAGTGCTGAAATACATGTCTTTTTCTATTAATCTTGTAACAATGTCCGAAAAGTCCCTGCATCCTTATTCCTAAATGAGCACAGTATGAATCCACCTCATTAAAGGTTTCCCTTAGCTTGTTTAGTTGTTCAATAATTGATCTTTCGTTCTGAATGCCTCCCAGAAACAAGTATTTTTCATTGGGATATTCTACCATATTATTTTCCCCGTTAACACTGATTTATTGTTGTAATGTAATAGTACACATTGTTCATTCAATTGAGTCACTTAACAAATTGGAGGCAATAAGAACAAACCATCCTATCACTTTCTAAATCACTTGCATTGAATTGTGTGCGTTTATCCATTTTGACAGATTGTGGTGGGAAGCTTCATGCCAAATGGTTACAAGGTACACAAAAGGAAGCACCACAGAGAACACGCATTGGCCTCTCCACCAACCTCAGCTGCCCTGGATACACCAGCAGTAGCAACTCCGATTTTGCAAGCAAAACGCGACGCCATTGAGCCCGGCTTGACCCCAATACCACCCGTCTTACCAGCACAAACACAAGTAGAACCCGAAAGGAACACCACTGCTGACAAAGAGAACCAGAATGGCGCGTCGCATTTTGCAGGTTGGAATGGCTCCAAGGCCAGACCGGACCACGGCCAATCACCTGACATCAATGTTTCTTTTTCTGGTGAATAAATGAATACTCTTCTTCGACTATTCAAGAGTATTTGGAGGCTGACGTGATTTAACTCGAGCTAAAACCAATAGATTTGGACTTTCTGCCGCTTTAATACTGAGAGATGGATGATGCGTTAACAAACTGTTTTAACAGTCCGGACACTGAGATTACAACAAATTGATTTTTAGTTTTCGGACAATATATACATCTTTTTTAGTAGGATAATAATATATGGATTCGTCTCTATGTTCTCCCTTAGCATTCGGACAAAATAACGGAAAACAACCAACATTTTATGATTTGATTTGACTTTGTCGTTTATTACATTTCTCTGTTGCTAGCTATTTCAATAAATTTTTGTTTCAATTTTTCCTTTTATTATCATTTTCTGTGCACGTGGTTTATTATTTTGCTTTTTTTTTTTTTTTTTTTTTTTTTTTTTTTTTTTTTTTTTTATAGCATTTAGCAAAATTTTATGGTGTTCTTCCTTCATGTTGCCGATTTCCTTGACTTGTAGTTCCATTATTTATCTTTTCTATTGTTTTTTTAATTTTTTGCTTCCTAGTTCATTGACGTTGTCGTTTCTCTATTTAATGTAGCTTATAATTCGTTGTTGTTTTTTCATTTAACGTTGTGAGCGCTACCGGGTAATATAATAAGTATCAATTTCCAACTTCAATACATTGTTGTTGTCGTCGTCGTCGTTTCTTCAATTTTTATCGGTTTTTTCTACTGTCGTATAATCATTTGGCAATATTTTGTCGTTTGTCTGTATGTTACCATTTTCCTCGACTTATTTTTTCTCGTTTATGCTTTCAGTAATACGTTCTTCATTTTTTGTCGTTGATTCCATTAGTTGTCGTTTTTCCATGTATTATCACTGGTGACCCTAAATTCTATGATCATGTCGATTTTTCCCAAATTTTAAAAACTTACTTTGCCTTCTTGAATTTTGAATTGTTTTCAATCTTTTCTGTTGTAATTTCTATTAAAAACACATAAAAAGATAATAATGCAGTTACGTGATTTTTCGTTTAAAATTTTGTTAAAAATAAACAGATAAACCCACAAGGCCACACATAACTCTCTCTTTTTTGGTCTAATTTTAACAAAAATTTTAATAAAAAGACTTAAATGAGACAAATTCAAAATTCAAGAGACAATGAGAGTTTTTAACGTTTAGAGAGCAAAATAGAAATTATCTCAAAGTTTATGGAGCACCAGTAAAATTAATCCTAAAATGAATAACGTCTATTGAAAGCAGTAAATGATAACATATTCAATAGACAAAAAATAATAAGATAAAAGAGGAAAACAGTAACATACATACACATAACAAAATATTGCCAAATGATAATAAGCAGTAGACAAAAATGATAAAATTGGAGAAACGACAACAACAAGACTAGTGTTCAGCAGACACATCGCCGTCGGTGCGATCTTGCGAGTCCTGAGTTTCGCACTATTACTATTTTTTGTTTTCTCCTTGTTTCGTTTTCTTGTCGTTTTCTATGCCTGTGACCATATTTTTAGATATATATCCCTTGTCCTTTTTTAATCTGCTATCGTTTCTTTATTTCCTCAATATGTTATCTTTCTTATTCATGTTTCCATTTCCTTTTTTTTTTATGGGAAAATATTATGTATCATTATTGGCAAGGAAATGACTTAATAGCCTATTAAATTACTGCATAATAGCGTGGGACCTAAGTTTTGCCATTTAGATTTTTTAAGATGTAGCATTTTTATTTTGTCACAACGTATAGAGAACACAATTCCAAAATGAATATAGATTAGTGGTCTATTTTGCAAGGTAAAATGTGTTGTCACGTACGATGATGTAAGAAAGGGCGCTAGTAGCACCATTGTGTGTTACAATTGTCATTTGAATGGTTATTTTCGTAATTATGTCTTCTATTTAGTTATTCGTATAAAACTATGTCATCTATTTTGAGAAATACTAAACTTATATAATTAGATTTTAAATTTTAGCTAAATCATGCCAACTAATATTAATTTAAAAATTTTCACTACTAATTGATATAAATTGGCGTGAATTTTGCACGTATTTTAAATCCAATGACATAATTTTTATAGATATTAGACGAAATTTAAAGCATAAATTTTGAATAAACCCAAGAAACTTAATATGATTATAAAATTGATCCTTTTGAATTTTTCCGTTCATTTCGCCGATTCGAGTTTAGAATTGGAGTTTTGCTACAGTAAAAAGCTCTCAGAAACAGTCACATCTAACTTTTTTGCTACAGTAAAAAGCTCTCACACAAAATCACATCTTTACTCAAATTACAAACTTGAACCACAAAACAACACTATGATATTTTATCATTGTTTACTAAGATGTCCAATAAATAAGGTCCAATAACATGTAGATATATCATTTTAATAGTACGCATATTTTTGATATTCTATTCACCATGTCATTGGGATCTTTTAGAGGATGTTTGGTATTTAGATTCATTTCTTGATTTGAATTATGATTTGTGGTTCGTTACAATATTTTCTCTTACAAAAAATACACGTAAATCCAAAATAGTTCTAATCACATGGTTCTAATCCATGATTCATGGTACGCATGTTATTGTCATATAAATTATTTGCTATGAAAGTGTCATCAAGTTCGTACTTGAAAGCTAAACTCAAAGTTCGATAAATCATCTATTTCTTCTTATGTGTCTTGATCACTCACCTGACGAAATAATATCTTGAGAGAAAACAAGAACTACTCTTATTCATTGTTTACATCTTCATATGTTTTTCCTAAAACAAAATTCATGAGTTGGGTGTTTGGCACTTCACTCTTATTCTCTTTCTATTAATGGAAAAATGGATTATTATTAGAGTTATTCTAGAACATAAAGAAAATAGGTAAATAGAAAATTCAAGAGGTCATATTACAAAACACCAATATGTACTCAATATGTGGACCTTTATTTCAAATATCACAAATACACCTCAAATCATTTCTTGTATATATATATATGGTAATAAGATAGTTAGCAAAACTAACATTTAATACTACCATTATATACTTAGCGATTTGAATTTTATTTATATGTAGACACTAAAGATCCATCTTAGTAGCATCATTTTTCATTTAGTTACTTACAATCTTAAAGTGAGAAGTGAAACCCAATGTAGTCCAACCAATCCAACAATTAAGCCATTTTGGCCATGATCCATAGATTTCCTTATTGGTCTTGAACGTTAAGGAGCATACTACTATATACCTACTCACTTTATCATGTATCCGCTCACTTTGACTATATACTCACTCAGATAATCAAGAGAAATATGAATTTTAAAAGATACCAAAATATAAATAAATTAATTAAACGAATATTATATATATGAGAAGTATTTATAAATAAATAATTTTAAGTTATAATATATATTATAATATTCGATAATTTATTCTTAATGGGTTGGGGAATGTTTTTGCAATCGAGGTTTTGGTTTAGAAAATGTGATAGCTAGATCTTTGCTAACCGGTCAAATTCTAATATTTTCTTGGTAAACAAATTCTAATATGTACATGTATGTATGTCTATATATATTTATATGTGTATATATATATATATATATATTAATGGATTCCTGTCTTGTAAATATAAGCTTATATTAAAGAATGTTTTTACAAAGATATGATAGGGTAATACCATAAAAGAAAATTAATAGCTTAAGTAAGTAAAGAAATGAATAGGAAACTAACCTTCATGAAACCTGTTATAAAGTTTGCATGTTCTTTTGCTATAAATGGCGTACCATTTACGTCGTAGGTCAGTTGAATGCCCCTAATAGCGGTTTGGTTATTATATTCGAAGTCGATTTCTCTTATTTCAGTGTATGCACCGTCATCAAAAGTCACACCATTAGAATTGGTCATTTTGGCTTCCCATGTTCCTATTATTATTGTCTGGCTTTTTCTACTTTGTTGATTGTTTTTGGTTTCCTACAAAATATTTTCCAAACGACGATGGTAGATCTTCAGTATATACGATTTGCAATCTTAAGACTCAACCAATATAAACTTTTCTATGATACATGTACGTGTATTTTCATATGTAATGACAAACGCAAATGATAAAAATAAAAAGAGAAACTCCAAATGGGAAAGTTTTTTTTTTTTTCTTTTTTTTCCCCTTTAAAGCGTGGTTGTTCTGACTATTAGAATTTATGTGATACATATATGGGTGAGACCTTAATAGGCATTACTCTAAATCTTTAACGACAATAAATTGTTTTGTCAATTCAAACATAATTTTTTTAATATGTTAGAAATATTTTTGTAAAAAAAAAATCTAAATAATCCAAATTTCACTTTAAGAGATATGATATATTCTCTAGTAACACTTTTTATTTTTTTTGGATACTTTTGAGCAATTAGTAAAGAATGTATCACATCTCTTGAACACTGAGGTTACAAAATGATTTTACGTGTATATTCTAACACATCAAAATACAACATACATAAGAATCACCAACAAATATATTATCGTTGAAGAGTATAATGCAATGTCTATTGATCATGTGTGTTAAAAAAAAGGCATGTCCCTTAAAAATTAATGTATACATATATGTGTGCATGGATGTACGTATGTATGGGGCCTACCATCCCATTGAAATTAAGGAGATCTTCATAAACTCCAATGGCAGCCTCGATTATCCTGATCGGGTTCTGGTTTGGCGAGGAGCACTCGCGGGTGTTGGCAGAGGAGATGGAGAAGAGGAGGACAAGGAAGGAGAGGGACAGAAAGGAAGAAGAAGCCATCTTGTATGAAAAATATTTGAAAACTAGTGATGTGGAGAAACTTATGTGTTTAAGTAGCTATATATAGAGATATACTAGTCACTAACCCGCGCCTTGCTGCGGGTAGTATTTTTGTATTATATAAAAATAAAAGTAGTTTATATGTATGTTTGTGTATAAATAAATACATATAATATGGTAACAAAACTTTATTTACACTATAATCCAATTTATTTTGTTGCTTTTTCACTTTTTTTTTTATTTTTAGCTGCAAGATACAAATTTTTAACTGATTAGTATTAATAATTTGTGGGATGAGTAATGTTTTGATTTAGGAGTAGTTATATTACCTGGTTGGAAACAAAAAATAGAAGCTGAAGGTGAAACATTCTAAAAAAGTCAAGAATAAAAAACGAGGTTCAATCAATGCAAGTTAAGCACACAAAAAACTCAACGAATTACATTTCTAAAGACCTAAGAAACAAATTGTGACATTCATTATCATCATCGAAT